TCATAGCTTTTAAAGTCCGTTCTTAAAAAACAGTTCTCTGAAAGAAAAACAAGCGAGCCACCCAACCTGAATCCCCTCTGGGACAACAGGAGGTGCACCAGAGGCTTAACAAATTATGGGATTCTGGATAAAACTTTACTTCTTTTCCACTGCCATACGGTCACACAACAAAAACTTATTTAAATCTGATCGAAAAATAAAAATTCTTAAAACCTGTACGTGAAAATTATTCCGAATACAAAAACTATAACGTGTTACTGTGACCGACCCACTAGAAAAGTGGCGCACCTACCCGCGTACCGTATTTTGAATTATATTGCGTACAAATGTCGCTTTAAAGAACCGAGAAAAACGGAACTGTAATAATCACGTGTAACATTGCTGCACCCACCTAGGAGATTTATCAACTTCATATCCCCTAATGCATATACATGTAGAACACTGCAGGTGTTGTACTCTATTAAGAACATGGACGAGAGTGATATCCTGTTTCCGAGTTTCTTGTTTTATTTTTTCTCTCGTTTACAGCAAAACATCCCTTACATAAATAGTTTTACGATAGCTTGGATATAACTCTTGTGAGTGCACTTGGACAATAATCTGCATGGTAAAGTCAGTTTCCCGAGTCATGGGTGCCACTTGTCCTTTGTTTGATGTTAGAGGTGTTTCGGGGAGCCTCGATCGGAAAAAAATAAAAGAATGTATAGCTGCATTTTCCGATAGTCTGAGCATATATGGAGTATTGAAATTAAAGAATGGTACTTCACCTCGAGTAGCCTCTTAACTTTTGATATATCGAATTAACCGGACTTGTCCATTGTGGTATTACAGACTAAGTTATCTGTTTTAGTACCTTTTCGCTCCGCTAGGCCGCGCTCTTTGATACTCATACAAGTCAGGGCCAACATCTTGGTCAAAGTCCTTATCAAACGAGCGCCGATTCGTCAATTCCAACAACGAATCGTTGGTGTGGTTTGAGCTACGTAATTCTCCCCTTGTTTACACTGAAAATGTGAGTGAAATGATAGATTTGAGGTTTAAATGAACAGGCGTGTCGAGCGATCGTTTGATAGACGCATTCTTAGTTTAAGAGATTAACAAAGCAATGCTGTGCAGAGGTGACCAAGGTGACCAAGTCAACGATCGTACGAAAAAGAAACTTGATTTTTTCCGCGAATATTGCCAAATGATAAATTTGAAAAGGAATATCCCCGTTGGAGACATGTACATGTCAGCCAATGAAAACGGCTGAAATATTAGACCTGACCTGTCAATGTAGTTTCGACGCTAAACTAAGCGGTTATATAGTTGAGAAAGTACAGCTGGCAGTCAAGTCCAGTGGCATTACCGTGGTTTAAAGAGCGTTTTAATGTTGTATTGCATTTTGGAATATTGCAAGAACTATTTTGGCTATGAACTAAAAACTAAAATGGTATTTTCCGTATTTTGTTATAGACCTAAACCAAGTATGCTGGATATCTTGCAATTTTTTTTTTTTTAATTTCGTTTATTTACAATAACTAACACGAAACATTTACCAAAATTCTGTTTAGGTACAGGTCTACTCGAACCAAAGGCAAGCTACGTCATTGCCCTCAAAAGGCGTCTTTGCGTATACCTTGACTAACACACCCTGTTAATCCCGCTTCGCAGAGGTCAAATGATATAACGATCGATGAAGGATGGCTTCGGACCAGTTTCGTGACAAATGCAATGTTGTGCACGTTCTCAGGAATCATAAGTAGTTCTAAGGCTAATCATCTTTTTTTTTTAATTAATTAAATTGGTAACTTCATTGATCAGCTCGTGTGTGTTGTAATATGTATTTACGGCATCTGTTGTAATTGATAAAAAAAATACATCTGTCATTCCCGCACGTGTCTTGTATCGGTTTTCAAATTCAAGGGTTCCTCTTTTCTTTGAGCCAAGGTCACTAAACATATTAAATTTCTTTAACCCCCCCCCCCCCCCCTTTTTTTTTTTTTTTTTTAATTCGTACAAAATGATATTCAACCCTAACATATTATCATTGAACGAGCGTGATGGAAAAAAGTGGAAACGCGATGTACGAAATTTATTGATGTTAGACAATGTATGTTGAGAGGATTTTTTGATATCGTACACCTGTATAACAAGATGTTATTTCAAAATATCGATAATACAGCAATACATAGTATTACAAATCTTTTTAATTTCAATCTTATGATAATTGTTTTTCTTTTTTCTTTCCAGTTTCCTTTTCGATTTCGTTACTTGAAGTCACATTATTTTGCGTGATATACAAATCATGAACACTCCCCAATCGTATGCAGTACCAAATAACGTAATAATTCGCGTGACTTTGTAGCATGGTCATGTTTTGGTAATTAAAGATCGATAGTGACAGATGGTGGTCTTCAGCGGCTGTCTTTGAAGCGGATGTCTCGTCATCACAACCGTGTAGGTGAAATCGAGGCTTACTAGAAATTGAAGTTTCTCCTATTATTTTGTTCTGCAGATTTGAAAAAAATATCTTTCTTCAAATATACAGGACGATCTCTCTATATTTCTAGACATGTTGACTCTGTTCCAGATGATAAATGACCGTTTCTGTTTGTCGGAGAGGCCGATATGCTACTCATAAGGAAAGAAATTTCAAATCCATCTGCTTAAAAGTCATCGCTTTCTTCATATAATATGGAATTGTATTTTTTCCTCATTAAATAAACACTAAGTAATTTTTCATAGGTGATACTCTTTCTTTGATTAAACTTTTCGACATCAGAATCAAATATTTTCGTTGGGCCGAAATTTTCGTGGTATCTCGACAACAACACCATTATGTGGGAACATGAATTCGTGGTTTACGAAAGCCCGTTCATACGGAAAATTGCTTTATGTCAAACTTGTAATCATTTTCTGAGCCTATGAATTCGTGGATGAAAATTATCCACGAAATCAACGAAATTAAAAACCCCACGAAAATTACTCAATTTCACAATATTGTAATATGAATATGATAACGTCACTTACCTGCAATGCGAGAACTCATCGTTAAACCCAGTACGGTTCTGTTACTCTGTTATCACGATATCGTGATCTGCTAACAACTTTTACTACAAAACGTATATGCCGTGATGCATTGGGTGAACATAGTATACCGTACCTTTAGATATTTTGTATGTGGTTATTTTTTTTTTATTTTTTTTTACGCTTGGAATGAATAATTCAAAATTAAACACACCAAAATTGTACGAGGCTAATTAAAATATATCTCGCTAAATCCGGATATTGGCAGACCGTGTTCCATGTTATTTATTATGCTTCATAACTAACTTCCGTAGGCTGTATTTTTCATGTAAGCGAAACTTGGTACTGCTTATTTTTCGGGCAGGATTAGATGCACAAAACACTTCGTGTAAAAAAACATGTCAATAAATATATTTTAATCTGAATGTGTCGTATCTTTTCATTATTTTAATATCCGTTGTGCAGCACGCCAAATCGGACGCACACAAATTTAACCATCCCATTTTAAGCCAAAAACAAATATGCCATGCCAAAATATCCAAAAACTACTGTACCACGAATAGGTAGCTTTTAAACCACGATAAAATAGATGCTATATCCCCGGTGATATAGCATCTATCTGTTTATTGTCGTATTATTTTATCACAAGGACAAATAGGTAAAGCTTAATACACTTTTTATATACGATATGAGTTCTTGTTTATTACAACGATTTGATAACGTATTATACAATTAATTTAAATGGTGCGAAAATATGTTGTTATATTTTCAGTATGTGACCTAGTACTTCAGTCGCTCGTGTATTTTACTATCCTGTGAGTATTGTGTATTCAAACCAAACAGCTGTCTGAGCTAGTGTACGGCGCGTCTGTAGCCGGAAATTGTAATAGCGATAATCTACACATCCAGTGTGGCGACGCTCGCCTGCGTCGATATCCCATAACGCTAGACTAGCCGTAAAATCCGTCCCTCTGGACTCCACCTTCCAATGGGTCGCATTAACATCGTTTCCAATGCACGTATATCAGCCTTCTAACGCGGCACACGTTTATGTCATTTGAATGTGAACTGGCGATGGTCAATAGAGAATAGCGACATGTTTAACAGATATGTGTGTTTTAACAACATTGTCGTTGTCAAATTTTAGAAATCTGATGAACATTATAGCAATTTTGTATTGCTACACAAACCTGACACTTTAAGAATCTGATAAACTTCACAGATTTTTTTTATTTTGCGGATATTTTTTTTTATATTTGAGCCCTGAACATATACTAGCCCTTTGATACCGATAAAATAAAGCTTTATACATGAATAATGTATTTTTATTGTTCTCAACTCTACTGTCATAATTCAAAACATATAAAAATTTATAATATTACGAATTCGAGGTTTCATACCGCTTTATCACAAGCCTAGTTCATAGGTAGTCTCAGAGCGGTACACAAATTATTATCCGTGGTTATAGGGCCTTTGCAACCACCCAGTATCTTTCTCAACTCCCCGGGGAACATACAGCCGTAACTGCCATTTCGGCGCTAACAGCTAGCATTCAACAATTCTAGCACTGGCCAGCCACGTATTCATTAACATCTGAGTAGACTGGAGCAAACAGAGTAAAGTATCTTGCTCAATGATACAAAACAGTGCCGTGCCGTGACTCGAACTTACAACCCTTCGGTCACGAGCCCGGCGTCCTACGACTAGACTACCGTGCCTCCGTCAACACAGACCGTGATGATACACAGTATTTTGTACATGTTACTGTGTTGTAAAAAACTGTGTAGGTCAACTAAGCATGACGCTAAATCAATTATTTTTAGCTCTGAATTATCATTTGTGCAAACATTTCCTTTTTTAAATAATGAAACGGATACTACCATTACACGTGTTTGTTTTCGTAATCTGGTGCGCTTGTCCCGTTGAAACCAAGTCATTAGACACTTTTGGTTGTCATATTTATTGATTGATATTACCGTTAATGCACACAGGTGGTCGAGATCCTCTTGGATCGGTCCAGCGAGCTCCACATTCAGGAATCTGTCCTGCAGGCCATCAGCGCCAACCACGTGCAGATCGCGGAGACTATCTTGAAACATCGTCGTTACCTGGACCTATGGAATGACAAGCGCAAGCTTGGTGGCGTAGATCAGTTCTTCAGCAACAGTACGCTCGAGGAGTCCCAGTTTTCGCCCGACATCACGCCGCTGATTCTTGCGTCACAAAAGAACCAGTACGAAATCGTCCAACTGCTTCTTCTTCGAGGGGAGATAATTCAAAAACCACACAAATTCAACTGCACTTGTCAGGATTGTGTAAATAAAATCCAGTTTGATAAACTTCGGTTGGCCAAATATAGATTGAATGCATACCGGGGCCTTGCTAGCGAGGCGTATATATCCCTCTCCAGCAAAGATCCTATCCTGACAGCGTTCGAGCTGGCCGACGAGTTGCAGAACCTTTCGACTATAGAGAAGTATTTCAAGGTATACTCTTACTTAGTAGCAATAATTTTGGTTGTTGTTAGACGCATTACATGTTAATACCACCCCAACTATTTAGAAGGAACATGTTTATTCAAAATTTACTTTTCAAACCAAACTTATCCTTCTAAGATATATCATGTAAGCTTGACACCACCATGTATCCAACAACACTTACCCAACATTGATACCCAATAAGACTTATACAATTTAGCTTACCCAATAAGACTTATACAATTTAGCTAACCCAATAAGACTTATACAATTTAGCTTATCCAATAAGACTTATACAATTTAGCTAACCCAATAAGACTTATACAATTTAGCTTACCCAACAAGACTTACCAAACATTGAATACCCAACAAGACTAACCAAACATTGATTCCAAATAAGACTTATATATTTTAGCTGACCAATCAAGACTTACCAAACATTGAATACCTAATAAGACTTATACAATTTAGCTTGCCCAACAATACTTATCAAACCTTGATTCCCAATAAGACTTACCCAAATTAGCTTACCCCACAATACTTACCAAACATTGAATACCCAACAAGACCTACCAAACCTTGATTACCCAATAAGACTTACGCAACTTAGCTTACCCAACAAGACTTAACAAACCTTGATTACCCAATTAGACTTACACAACTTAGCTTACCCAAGAAGACTTACCAAACATTGATTACCCAATAAGACTTACCAAAACTTGATTCCTAATAAGACTTGCACAACTTAGCTTACCCAACAAGACTTTCCAAACCTTGTTTCCAAATAAGACTTACACAACTTAGCTTACCCAACAAGACTTACCAAACATTGATTACCCAATAAGACTTACACAAATTAGCTCACCCAACAAGACTTACCAAACCTTGATTTCGCAATTAGACTTACACAACTTAGCTTACCCAACAAGACTTACCAAACATCGATTACCCAACAAGACTTACCAAACCTTGATTCCCAATAAAAATTGATAAAGATTGACTGGGCGAATATTTCCCGGTATATAGATTATATGTAATCTGTGTTACAGAACGAGTATCTCGATTTAGTAAACGCTCTGAGCGAGTACGTTGTCAAGCTACTCGACCGAGTACGGACACAGGAAGAGCTAGAGGTTGTACTCAATAAGACTGGGCGACCTAAAGACAACAAGTACGAGAGCCTGGCCCGTTTTAACCTAGCCATACAGTACAGTCAAAAGAAGGTAAGATATCAATGGTAATATTTTGTCAAGTTTTGTTAAGGCATGTCCTTAATATCGGCGAGATACCGAAAACTTACCTCTCGTTACGAAACTGTACGTTGCTGATTATGATAATACCAGCAGCCAATGGTCACTCTGGTCAATTTTGTCTCTTGGCAAAACAGGTGATAAAATAGTTACGACACAAATTGCAAACTAACCAGGTCATGCAATGGAAAAATAAGCTGAAATTGTAAAAATATACAAATAGGGATAGTTCTATCCCTATTTGGATATTTTTACAATTTCAGCTTTTTTAATTTTCATGCCGGTATGAACGCAAATCGGTTACATCCATATTGCATGAAGCCCGTTAATACCGGCTTGAAAATTAAAGAAACACCTTTCAATCCATATATTTACATTTTCACTATAGAACAATTGTTTAATTTATTTATTCCTAAATAATTTAAATATTTTCTGCATTTTGTTTATGCGTCGTTCTTTAAACGACATTGGCCCTGTCTAAATAAAAGTGGCGCCAATAATTAACTGTAGCCATTTGCGCGTTTGACGCAGGGGCATTCTCCAAATTATCCGAAGCGAAGCGACAACACTCTCATTGAGCAAGGTTAATCTATGACGTCATAAGTAAACCACGTGTTACATCACGAGAGCTTTTGCTTTCATACTCAAATGAAATGCATTTCTGCTGGTAATGTTCATATAGTGGGTTGCAGCGCAAATGTAAATATACTGTCATGGTCGCCAACACAGTGAGTTTGATTTCACAGGTAACGCTATCTAGGTGTTTTGAACTTACCGAATACGTCACAAGCAGGAATTAAATTATCATAATATATCGATCTAAGAAGATAGGTTTAAACGTAAAATAAATGACCCATTGATGTGTTGTTTGGAAGATGGTTGTAATTCTTATTAAATGTAATATTATCTATCTAAGGAGATATCGTGAATTTTAAAGAAAATAGATTACCAATGCATGAATTACCCTTTCAGGCACGTTAGGGAAGACATGTTTTTTTATTTGGCAAAAATTAACACGTATGCGCATGCTCGTTAGTTTAAAATGACTGATACGTCCTTAAATGACCATAGCTGTTAATAGGAAGTAAAACATAAACAAACCAAACCACTTACTTTGTGTAGGACAGCTAGAATAAGCCACTATGTTTGAAAATCTTTTATTGAAAAGTAAAACAAACAAAAAGCTTTCAAAGCAGAGCTATCTCTCTCACTCCGTTTGGTCCCTGACAATTATTCACTGGTCTTATTTCCCCTGCTGGTTTCTCTAAACAGATTATTTCTTTCATATAACTTTTCTTCTGTATAAGTGAACGCATGTATGTCTATGTATTCCGTATCTCGTTCTTTCCTCTTCATTTAAAACTCTTGTTCTGATTCATGAAGATTGAATACTGTCATAAACTTTGTTCAGATTCAGTCAGATGCGTTCATTTCGAATGACAGTTGTTAACCTTGATTTGATCACGTAATGTTGTCATCAAGAAGTTTGCTGTTAACCTCGTAAAGCTTGATATCAAACCACGTTTTTATTAACTTTGTCTATGCTTCCTTTTGATTTTCATCGTCTCATCACAAAGTTCTTTTCATTATTCGTAAGATCGGCAGGTTATTTTTAAAAATATTTTACATTGATAACATTGCAGTCAGGCTCATGGTTTTCATTTGAGGCATGTTGTGTCGAGGTGCCCTTGTGTTATTGTCATTTCATGTTATTTTCGAGTTGTATGGTCAATACATTGCTTTTTTCCTTTTTTTTTATATCCACTGTTACCTTTAATAATGTAATGATTAAAACGAATTATAAAAACCCCCGCAATTTTAACTCAAATGTGATGTAAAGCAGCAAAAAGAATAACACCAGAACTACAGGAAGGTTAAGAGTATTATAATTTATTGACAAAACCGACATTGTAAATCTAAGTCAAATCGAAGAAACGCACGTTCTCAAATTTAGAACCGTGTTATTGACAACGGGTTCACAATGAACACTAATGACCATGATCAAGAAACGTGAATTTCATCTCGCACAAAAAAATACAATATTTCGTAACAGAGCATGGTGGAGACCCCAGTATTTGCCAACAGTCTGTATCAACATGCATCTCTCGATTTGTACGTCGGTTCAAAAGATTAACGTTTTTTTCAGCACCACATCGCTTGTACCTGTACCTGTGAAAATAACAACTACAACTTTCTCATAAGTTCCAATATGTAATTTGTGCCGATTGGATGTTTTTCTTTCTGGTGAATTAAGTCACTTTAAATCGTTTTTCTTTCGCGAAATATCAGTGACAGTTTTCAGATAACCCTCCCTGATTCCTCCGATTAAGACCTATTTACATCTCAGTCTAAATGAGTTATCGTGATAGATTTAAGCTAGGGTCACAAAAATGGCCTCTCCCAAACAAACCAATGCACTACGGCTCTCCAAGTGCATTGGTTTGTTTGGGAGAGTATTTCTATAGCATATCACCGTATGCAATTTCAGCAAAGCGAATTGTAGTATAACATGATTAATTCTAATCGTTCTTGTTTTTAAGTAACTTTCATTTGTTTCAGTTCGTGTCACATCCGAGCTGTCAACAGCGTCTTGTGACCACCTGGTACACGGGTATGGAAAACATGCAACGCTCTAGCTGGGCTCGACGAATCATGATGGCCGTCTTGTTTTTTCTGTCATATCCTTTCTTAGTCCTTGCTCATCTTGTCACTCCAGGCAGAGAGGTAAGCTACTTGCATACTTTTTGGAATTGCATCCGTTTTTGATCTCTTTTAATCAAAATGTTGACCTCCATTTATAATATATTAAAACCGTTCTCATTTTCAAATGCATTTTCTAAGGTCAAGTGCATACCCTTAATACAACTTAAACTTAAAATGTAACATCAAGACTCCAAAAAGACACATAGAGAAGAGGCTTGACTCTGCCGAACTCCAGAGAAGCAAATTAACTCTAAGACTTGAAATTGAATACACCTAGAGAAGAAGCTTGACTCTACTGAGCTGCAGAGAAGCGACTTGACTCTTAAGTATTCCTGGAGATGATGATACATATATAGAAGCTACTGACATAGTAAATGAATAATATTTCAATTAATAAAGTATTGGGGGTAAAGTTCCCCTGGAATTAAAAGCTAAAATTGAATCTTGGTTTATCATTTTAAGTAGAGGGAATCTCTTTGAGTTTCAAGAATGTTGTTATAACGAGACACTGGGCACGAGGGCGGTTTTATGAACACGGAATCGTAAATAATCTCAACCTGCAGGAACCGTAATTCACCACAACTTCAAGAACCAAATTTTATACAAGTTATTTTTTAATTTCTTTTTCTTAGAATGTCGCCTGTGCTTGACTCAGCATATAAAACCTATCCTAGATACTCCAGGGTTACTCTCACTTACGCTCTCTGCACCTATAGAATATGTCATAGCAAAATTGAAGGCACGCAACAAGCTGTTCGGTATTTGTATTAGGAAAAAACCTGACTAATTGATAGGCTAATTACTGTCTTTTGAAGATTCAGAGTTTCGACACCCGACTTCAATGTCCGTAAATTGTACCGGTAAACGACAGCGGGATTCTTTTGCTGTACATCAAAGGATGAAACTATGTCTTTTTGTGTCATCCATAATGTGACAAACACTGATCCTTCGATTTTGCTATGACATTTTCTAGGGGTGTAGAGAACGAAAGTGGGCCTAACACCTTGTGTATCGAGGATGGACAAAACCAATCCCGATTGTGTATTTGGTTATCACATATGTTACCTGGTACACTGTTACTCAGTGATATTGTATAAAATGTATACTACACTATAACGTGATCATTGTATGTGTTTTAATTGCATAGTATCTGCAGTACCTTTAGTATATATTATTTGCTCACACGTCTTTTTTTCTGACAGTGTGTGAAGTACCTGCGTTTTCCGTGTGTCAAATTCATCTGTCAGACAACGTCTTTTCTGATCTTCCTCGTCCTCATCATCGTTTCCACGGCGGAGTCATCGCGAACTGTGTCCAACAAAATTACACTTAGCACAGAGTTTCCAGAAATCCATAACATTTACACGGAAATCAGAACATTTTCCAATGGAACTATGTATGGTAATGATTTTCCGTTAAGACCGCTTGCGCCAACCATGACACAGATCCTTATATCATTATGGGTGATAGGTAAGTAGAAACTCGATAAGTATTGCACGTGTCCATATGACACAAATCCTTCTTGTACAAGCGTATTTTTTCTTCCCTTTGGGACAGCGATAATCACACATCTGGTCAGAAAATAAAATTGATTTTTTTTTGTCTCATACAGTGCGTGATAAGCCGGAAGTGCACATGTGTGCACGTACTGTAGTTTATACATGTAATCAGGTATTCAGTGAAAATAAAATGATGATATTATAAGGTGTTTCCTGAGCTGTTAATTGATGCTTTTGTTATGTATTTCAGAATGTATTTTAATATATTAATATCACCATTGTGTAAACTGAAACGACAAATTTAACAGATCCTCATCGTTCATTGAAGCGCCTTCCTGGTAGAAAGGCCATCAACACTATGCTATATAGTAAACGTTATACTGCCACTATTTCTACAGCGAAATTAATGGGGTTTCGAGAAAATTTGAGTAAAACGTAAAAAAGAATTCTTGAGAGAAAAGGAAAAAGGGAGACTAAAATATGATGACGATAAGCGCGGTGGCAGATAGAACAAGTGGGGCGTTATAACGAAGTTTTACTGTATTTCAGTTTGTTGAGAGGCTGTTTCACTATATTGGAATTTTCTGTAGGTACTTAATCTTTGCGAAAAGTGAACAACAAAAGTGTACGGTATATCGCTCAACGCTCAATTCGCATTGAACCGTCTTTGCAAGTTTTCTCGGTAATAATACTTTCGCCAAACATTATTGATATACAGTCTGTTTTTATCTGTTAAAGGGTTCGCGTGCCAGGAATGTGCCCAGCTGTTTAACGATGGAATCTCGGAGTATATGAAGTCTTGGTATAATCTGATGGATATCACTCTGCTATGTGTCTACTTTTCGGCATTCACTCTACGTTATGCCGTTATGTTCAAGGTAGGTACATGTTCAACACAAACCTTTGGGACAGCAATCATAACTTTGCAGGGATTTCATATTTCTTTTAATTTTCTTGGTTCGTTTTTAACAGAAAAAAAATCCTTGAAATTAAACATTCGGTAGCTGTTTGCACTTCCAATGAAACGAGTCAAGCAAAGTATCGAAAAAAAATGACAATCATAAAATTTGATATCTCGACAAAAAATCTTACTTTTAATATGACTGAAGAAATTTTTGTTTTGAACTTATTATTCATACGTTATACTAGTCAAAACGCAAACATACATGAAATATTCATAATAAACAAATAATGGAAAACAAACATTGTTATTGAATGCATCTCCCGCCCACGGTGTTATGAGCAACCCTTTGACTTTCTCGGATGATTTAATTAGGTTCATTGCAAACATGGAAACACCATAAAAGCTATATATTGGTTTCATTTTTAGCTCACCTGGTCTTTTTCCTTCTGTAGGAATGAAAGGATTTGTTCCATATTCGGTGTGAGGCATCCTTGGGTGAAGGAGAATCAATTTTTTATAAACCGTGGGTGTGGCCCCCCGGGGCCTGAGGGGCGGGGCTCAATAAGGGAAATATAGCAAATTCTTTAACATCCTTCTTCTTCTGTAGGAATGAAAGGATTTGTTCCATAGTTGGTCTGAGGCATCCTTGGGTGAAGGAGAACCAATTTTTTTTATAAACCATGGGTGTGGCCCCCAGGGGCCTGTGAGAGGCCGGGCCAAATAGGGGAAACATAGCAAATTATTCTTTTAAAATCCTTATTCTTCTGTAGGAATGAAAGGATTTGGTTCATATTTGGTGTGGAGCATCCTTGGGTAAAGGGGAACCAATTTTGTATAAACCGTGGGTCTGGCCCCCCTTGGACCTGAGGGGCGGGGCCCAATAGGGGAAATATAGGTAAACCTTTTATAATCCCACTTCTACCATAGAGATTAAGGGATATTTTCCTAATTTAGTCTGGAACATCCTTAGGCAAAAGGGACTCAATTTCGTATAAACAGCAAGTGTGGCCCCCTGTGGACAGAAGGGAGGGGCCCAATAGGGGAAACATAACAAATTCTTCAAAATCCTTCTTTCTCTGTAGGAATGACAGGATTTTGTCCAAATTTGGTATGAAGCAGCTTTGGGTGAACGGGAAACAATTTTGTATAAGCAGTGGGTGTGGTCTCCCAAGGGACAGAAGGGCGGGGCTCAATCGGAGAAATAGAGGTAAAACCTTTAAAACCCTATTTCGACCATTGGGATTATGGGATTTTATCCTTATTTAGTCTGGAGCATCAATGGACCAAGGGGACTCAATTTTGTATAATTGGTGGGTATGATCCCTCCTAGGTTGCATAGGGGTGGGGCTCTATTTGAAGTTTGTTCTCGCTATATCTCAAGTACTGGATGGATCTTTCTGAAATTCCATATGTATTTACAGCACCTACTTCATACCAATTATTTTAAACATATTCAGGTGAGCGATACAGGCCCTATGGGCCTCTTGTTTCAAATTTTCGTTAAAGTTCTCCTTTTTGTTTTGATATTACAGATGTACGGTTCAATAGATTTCTTGCGCCAAACCCATCAAGCGCCTTGGACGCAGCAAGAGATAGACACTCTGAACTATCGCCTTTACTGGTTAAACGAAGGTACCGTCTTAACGCCCTATCAACACAGAGGGGATCATTAGGTCCAATAAAGGGTTCCTAAGGATTGAACATACCAATAGTAGTTGCTATTTCCTGCTAAACGTTCAACATTTATGGGATTGGCAACAACTGGTTCACCCGTTGTCAGCATAATGTGACCGGGCGGAATACTTGGTTTGGTGCCTTCGGAAGGGTACTTCAGTGATATAGCACTATACAGTCGGCATCAGATCCGCGCTATCACATGAAGGAAAATACACCAACATACCCTGCCTCCTGTAAACACACACACACACACGCAAGCATGCATATAAAACGTACATGGAGGCACGTCCTTAAATGGCATAAGATATTAATAGGACATTAAACAAAATAAAACAAAACCAAATCGATAAAGCAGGTCTGTTCTGGAACACGTAGGCTTGTTCTCCTGCACATGGATTTCCGTGTAAATCTGACCTTTATTCAAATACTGCCGTTCTACCGATTAAAAACTGCGCTAACGATTGGTTTATGTTTAGTTATATTCTCTTGTTGTTTTCTTGTAGATCGCTTTTACTGGATGGCCTGGGATCCGATCAACATGTCCGAGGGTCTGTTTGCCATGGCAAATATTTTAAGTTTTTCCAGGATTTCCTATCTCCTTCCTGCAAACGAAGTACTCGGTCCTCTCCAGATATCGCTCGGCAAAATGATAACGGTAATTTCGTAAATACTTTGTGGTGTGTATAGAGAAAAAAAATAGAAATATCTTCGTCATTGTATTTTGTCAAAATGAAAAATACTGGGTCATTAGCGGATTTCAAATATCAATGTATTTTAAATGCCTGTTTATACAAAGGGATTTTATGTATTTTTATATCAGGTAATGGTAATAGTATATAGTTGATGAACGTTACTCCTCCTATATATAATCTAGTTAGCTATTTAAACTAGTTATTTCAAGTTATATTAATCATCTTGTAAGACTGTATGTTCGCTCGCGGGGGGTCTTAATGTGGGAGGAAACCGCAGGACCCGGAAAAAAAACCACGTGGTTAGGCAGTTGACCCCATACCTTTTCACGTCCGATCGGGGAATCGAACCCCGGTCGCCTTGGTGAAAGGCTAGTGCATTATCCACGGCGCCACCAGACCACACTCCGTTTTGTTGATTTGTACGACATTCTCAAGTTCTTGCCCTGACCACCATTTCCGGATTTGAGTTGGTTGTAGAACAGCGTGAAACTATTCAAATGTTTGCAAGACCAACAATTTGTATGTAACTTGTCCAATCTTGTGTTTTGTTTATATTTCATTTGCAGAATAAGTTCTAGAGCCTACTTATCCTGTTGTTCAATTTATTTGTAGGACATCCTCAAATTCTTGGCACTGTTCATGTTGGTTCTTGGGGCATTTATGGTGGGCCTGTTCAATCTGTTTTGGTACTACAGCGTACACGAAGAAATCGAGGTGACAGATCACGGGTTTACCTTCTCCGCTGAGAAACACTTTGGAGAGTAAGTGTGATCATGCATGTCTATCATGCATGTACCTGTGATTTGACTGTTGCGTTTATATCGACATGACCCCTGCATATTCGGATCAAGAACAGACTTGCTGTATACCATTGTATATCATTATCGTACGAGACGACTAAAGTGGACCCCCTGCAGAGTGAGGGGATTTGGTCTGTGTCTTCAACTGAAACTAAAATTGATCTGCTTACCCATTTGCAATACTTTGAATATACATCTTTTCTTTTCAGGCGTCTCTTCTTTTATTTTCGACAGCATCTTACTAGGCACCCGTCTTTATATGCTGCGAGGACGTGAAACCCAAAACAAACAAACAAACAAATATAACGATATGATCGTTAATATCAAGCTGTATTTAATTCACTTGTGTGCAAACACAATAAAATGTAAATAATGACTTTATTAGAAAGAACGTCACTATGGTCTGCTAACACATGCACAGTGCTAAATGATACAAACATGTTTCCTAGTTACATTCACTGAAAAAGAGAGTCGGTGCGCTTATTGGTGCTAGCGTTAATAGATCAGATATATACTTTTTCGTACTATGATATAAGCGCGCAAATAAATTAGGTTTGCCGTATACTTTATTTTAATAATGATGATGACCGTTTACAGATAAACCTCGATAGAATGCCCCTCGTTTCGTTTGTCATCTTGCTTTACTGCCAACATATTTTCATTTTCCTTTAGAATCTTTTTATACAGTTCCCTCAATTTTCTGCCAGCACCCTTTATCAATTACAAACTTTCTCTGAACAAAAGGAGGCAATATAGCAATGATTTTACTGTACACCATTATCAAACAAGGATCACACATACAAATATGCCAAAAGTACATAGTTCCATATCATTTCATCAGGAAGGCAATGGGTTCAGTCCTCAGGCCGGGACATACCAAAGTCCTTAAAAATTGTAGGTTTTGTCCTTGATTAACGGTTCAGCATAGGGTAATGACAACAACTGGTTCACCCGTTGTCAGTATAATGTGACCAGGCGGAATGCTTTGCTGGGTGCCTCGGCATGGTATTTCAATGAAATAGCACAATAAAGTCGGCATCAGATCCGCGCTATCACAAAGAGGGCAAGTACATCAAAATACTTTGTCTCCGGCACACATACACACATACAAGCTTACGCAACACCCATGGAGGCAAGTCCTTAAATGGCCTTATCTGTCAATAGGACGTTAAACAATATAAAACCAAACCAAACCATATCATTTAATCAAGTGACCACTTTAACTTGTAGTGTGATGGCTACGTTCCGGACGGTGTTCTGGTCAGTATTTGGCCGCGGTGATACGGACGTTGTGACATTGGGGGAGTACGACAATCATCTGACAGAAGACATCGGCTACATTATATATGGCATGTACAACATCGCCATGGTCATCGTTCTCCTCAACATGCTTATCGCCATGATGTCCAGGTCCTTCGAAAATATTACGGTAAGATCGAATGTCAATGGTGCTCTTCGCAAGTATGTTATGTTTTGTTTAGGCTTTTGTTTTTGTTCACTGTCTTCATGACCGTATTGACCGTCTTGTTCATTGTTTAAGTTGAAACGGTACATTAAGGTAATAATACACAGAACCATACGGTGGTATTTAGTATGTAGGTGTATTATGGCTCTGCGATCCTTTTCTGATGCATCTTTGCGACTATGGGGGCAGTTTGAGGGACTTTTGTAGTGGTACTTGTTTTATTTGACTTTACAATCAACTTTAAATGATATATACTGCGCTAAAACACATTCTGTGTAACATTACAGCGAGACTCTGACTCGGAGTGGAAGTTTGCTAGAAGCACACTGTACATGGACTACATCGGGACTGGTTCAGCACTGCCAGTCCCCCTAAATGTCTTGGCCGTACCACGTGATTTCATAGAGTATATCATCGAATCGTGCTGCCGGAAGTCAGAGGACGACGAGAGCGATTCTGATGATGATGATGACGACGACGAAAAAAACAGAAACCCAGATCAAAATGGTGGAATGGTAAAATACATGTTTTAGTTCGGATTAAAACAATATCTCCATGACTATTATAACAGAATATTAAATCATGTAAAAGCTGATTTGTGGTTTTTTAATAACTAGGGCGTGCATTGAAATCCTTTATTCAGTATCCTTAAAAATGAGCAAAATAGCAGTTACTAAACTTACTTAAAATAATCACTGGAAACACGAAGCATTTATTTCAAATTAAGTTTGTGGAAAGAGGAAAATAACACATTTAACTACAGCATACTGCTCTGACTATTTTGTACAGGTTTTATTTGTTAGTGGTACATTTACCCGAGGTACAAAGACTTACTTTAGTTCTTAAAACACAGGTAGAATGCAGTTAAAGGGAAATGAGGATAGAATACATTTTATGACGTCACAAATTTACAACGTTGAGCTACAACTGATAACTGATTCCTAAACTAGAGTTCCACGTGAACCATATAAAGAAGTCACTAGAACTACTAAATAAGGAAGCAAGTATGTCTAACTAGGATTACCATGTTACATAAAGAAGGAATTAGGCCTAACTACGTTAACCACTTGTTACGTAAATAAATCACTAGAACTTTGAAATAAGGAAGCACTTAGGCCTAACTAGGATAACCATTTGTTACGTAAATAAATCACACGAACTTCGAAATAAGGAAGCACTTAGGCCTAACGAGGTTTTCCCAATTGTTACGTAAAAATATCACACGAACTTCGAAATAAGGAAGCACTTAGGCCTAACTAGGTTAACCATTTGTTACGTAAATAAATCACACGAACTTCGAAATAAGGAAGCACTTAGGCCTGACTAGGTTAACCACTTGTTACGTAAATAAATCACTAAATCACACGAACTTCGAAATAAGGAAGCACTTAGGCCTAACGAGGTTTTCCAATTGTTACGTAAAAATATCACACGAACTTCGAAATAAGGAAGCACTTAGGCCTAACTAGTTTTACCACTTGTAACGTAAATAAATCACTAGAACTTCGAAATAAGGAAGCACTTATGCCTAACTAGGATAACCACTTGTTATGTAAAGAAATCACTAGAACTTTGAAATAAGGAAGCACCTAGGCCTAACTAGGATAACCACTTGTAGCGTAAATAAATCACTAGAAATATATATTGGAGAAAAAAAATCTGCTTATTCTATGTAACTAAAATTCAATTTGATCTTATTTGACCATCTTTCTTATCATACCATGACACCTTGTTCTCGCTTATTTCATTTCGTGTTCCTAGGGCAACGGCAGTCCAATAGAGGCTACGGCCATTGACATAAGCGAGACAAACCTGCGGCCGGAAGACATGGACAGACGGAAAAGTTTGGGCAGCACAACGGGACAAGACGGAAGGAAGAAAAAGGACTACCAGGTCCGTGGTTGGATTTCTTTTGGACATTTCGTACAACTAAAAATGATGATATATGTTTTTTTAATTTATCCATTTTTGATTATGTGATCTATCAGAAAGGGTTTCAAATCAGTAATTTGTATTTTCTGCTATGATGCATGTATTGGCCTTGAGAAATCAACTGTTGTGAGGTGTTGACAATATCCATTAATTGGACTGCTAAGTTTTAATCATGAAACAGAATTGTTCAAATAGATAGAGCGAGAAAAAACAGTAACAGTAACAGTAACAATACCGTTTGATAACCTTAAATTAACAACACTGTGTGATGCTGTAGGGCAGTTAGCAACAAGGTTCTAGTAACAACGGTTCCATATTTAGGAATGTTTCATTGAAATTCACTTACATTGACAGAACAAAATCATAAACAAGTAATAGAGCTGTTTGATTTTTTTCACAGTCATAAACCAAATAATATTAATATGATGTAACTTCAGCTCTATAATTATTATTGTGATTATACTCAGTATATGAATTTATCACAAACCTGTTGAATCTTGCTATAGTAATACAAGCAATTTTAAGACCATGAAATACAACGTTCTTTATTGCACATGTGCAATACGGAATGTTGTATTTACATACTAGCCGGAACTACTTTTTATGGGAATCCCTTGTCATGGCGAACTGAAAAGTTCCCGGTATTTGCAAAAAATATTAAAGTTTATAAATCTTTGTATCGATCTCTACCAAATATGTGATAAAAGCAAGACCACACACTTGTGTTTTTCTAACGTATCAGAAAGAACTCATTTATTGCGCGGACGTAGATATTCGTCCGCGCAATAAACTCGTGCTTTCTGATTACTTAGAAAAACACAAGTGTGTGGTCTTGCATATAAACATGTAACATACCTTTTATTTAATGTATCTATCAGACAAGCTGAGTGTTTCTGCTATCGTGTGTGAGGTACATGTACTAGTCACGTAATATATAATGGTAATACAATGATGAAATATATCAATGCTGTCACAAATCAGTTTAACACTCAGGTGCATTTAGCTGTTCCGATGAAGACACTTGTAAGCAAGGGTTATTTGCCTGTTTATTCATTATATGGGACCAGTTCTCGTGCTAAAATATACGACTCTAGGTCATTTGTTGTACAACTTATGGTTTATAACTTTGCAGCCTAATGTTGTTCGTTGTAAAGATTTGTTTTCTGTCTCATTCAAGGTATTTGATAATACTGTCATAATATTTCGATCAAAGAAGTTTTCTTTCACAATGATAAATTAAAATTTAAAAAAATGCTTACAGAACAATTGCAGAAAGAGTTGGTGATGTTTTGGTGTTTTTTCAGAATGTTTTAGAATCTTTCTCGAATTTGATCAAATATTTCTGATTAATATAACCAAACAATTAATTTAATCGAAATGAATTGCAATCTTTCATTACACATTGAACATATTGTAACCAAATGCATGATGCAATGCGTCAAACGTATACGACTCACGGCCTAAGGCAAAATATATGAAATGTGTGGGTTTAATTGAACAATAAGGTAGTCACGTTATGACTATAATTATTTTTTAACTGACATAAAAATAATAGGAAATGATAATGTTATTTGCAGAGAGTGATGCAGACGATTATTCAGAGGTACATATTTGAGAAGCAAAGGGAGGCGGAAGTGACAGAGGGTAAGTCGACGTCCACGTGATGTTGTGCGCAGGTTAGGTGATAATCACGTGGTATTTAAAGTTTTTGTCTGTGGTATTGAATAGATAAACAGATAAACTGGTTATCATGTGTCGTACGGACATTTAACGATGTTTGATCACGTGGTTTCGTATATGTTCACATATTTACCGGTGATCAGGTGATAAAGTACGTACATTTTAAGGGATTTACATGGTATTGTACGCGTATTTAATGATAAACCTGTACGAAGAAAAAACTGTTAATGAGGTTGTATTGTACGCATGTATAATGCCTATTTACCTTTTCTATACATCTTGAATGAAAACTATATGTATTATCATGTGTATTTTATGCATACTTCATATAATATTATATTAATACATTAAGAATTTTCAACAATTTTTCTGTTAATAATCATTACCGTGTTTTAAGCCGAAATAAGACCCATCATTGTGTAACTTGAGATGCTTTTTGAATAAAGGCCATACTGTCAACTGATATGATTCATATTGATCATGTAGTAATAGCTGTATACTTTTGTAGATGACTTCGAAGAAATTAAGCAGGATATTTCAAGTTTCCGGTATGAAATATTAAACAACCTCGAGCTTCGAGATTCTGCACATGGCGATTTGGCACATCAAGTTAGTAAAATTGGCGAACAAGTGAAAATGATAGCCAAAGAACTACGGAGATCTCGTGCAACGGATGACGTCATCAGTGAGTGCGAGGCTGAAGATGAACCGGAAGGGGAGAAAAAGACATTTTCGTCATTAGCAAATAGTGTTCGTACCACACTTTAAATAACCTTAAATGTATTAAGACGTATATGTATGCATCAGTGCTGAATGAAAATTTGCAAAAAAAAACCTTTCAACGAATATGATGTCAAGCCTATCCGCATGTTAGGAGTAATGTTTGATATTGTTAGGCATATTTGTGCTACTAAACATGGCAAATACCCACGTGATGGTTGTTATGGTAACTACGTATTATTTATGTACGTAACGTCACTAAAGGCGCGTGTGACTGTTGTTACAGCGAATGCGTTCTTAAAACAGGTATGATACATAATGGTTGTTATAGATACTTTGTGCTATTATTAACGATTTGCATTTCTTGTTATGATTATCAGGTTGTACAAAGGATAGGATGAATGACGGTTGTTATGGTTACTCATAGCAACAACAGGGTTGTTACATTGTGATTATTGAGGTGCAGTTGCTATGAGCAACAACATAAAAGAAAATGCATCGTAGTTATTATAGTGATGATAAAATGTAACGTTGTTACTAAAACAGGAACCATACAGTACTATATACGTGTGTTTGTTTGTGTTTGTCTGTCTCTTGTATCTACAAGACAATAATCCGGTCTAGGATTTTAGTATTAAATCTTAACATTTTAAATAATTAAGGCGATTCTTTAGGTTGCAAGTTGGAAATACTTATAATAATATTTCATCCTCACAAAAATAGTTTTGCGGAACAGTGTTTTTAAACATAACGACTTAACACGAATTATGTAAGTACATCTTACCAAAAATTGAAAACGTTTTCTTAGAGGACGACAATGATATACATATATATATAATATCAAACATGTAGGCAAACATAGCAAATGACTGCACATTACAAGAACAGTCCGCAGTGAGTTAAAGTGCTATATTTCTATCCAAAACCTTAAAACATTTGAAGCAAATTCATTATTATTGAATTTCTGAAATGAATGACCAAACAAATTTAACTGATGATACAGAAGTTATGTATATCATGTTTTTAAAGGTGTATGGTATCTCGACCTAAGATCTGGCCGTTATATATATATATCACCACTAAAATACATGGAATATTGATATGGAGGCGATAATTGAATATGTGTAGTATATGTGATGTAATTACAGAGGTAAACATGCCATACATATATGTGTATCCTTCATTTGTGGAACAGTATTCATACGTTTTATATATAATATTTGTAACAGAATTTCCTGATTTGTGACTGTGATCATATATGTATGTATACATTATATAAACCCTATGCTGGTTCATAGGCAATCATAATCAAAAGTTTGATATATCTTCTTTTTTTTAAAGTTTGGTATATATTATCTTGACAATAATTTATCACGCAAGTAATTATATTAAATGGAAATCATTATTTATAATCTATCTATGTAATGTGTTGTCAGGTTTCGAAACCTTCTGGTTATTTTGTTAAGCTACAAATTTGTTCACCATCGTGACTCTTACCGAAAATCAGAACTAGATTGTAATATAATAATAATTAGAATAGAGTACGGACAAGAATATCCGGAAGTTTATTTTTTTAGATTAAAAATGTGAATGTATACTTATTTGTTGATATAGATGTATGGCGAATACTGATACTTAATCGAATATTTTGAACAGTATGTACATTATTTAAAGGCGATTCTAGACGCCCATGTACATTGTATGTATATATATATATATATGTACAAATATGTCACTTAATTAGGAAATATGTCATTTCGAGGTCCGGTATCTTATCACAAAAAGAGCAGGTGGAAAGAACACGCCGTGGCGAAACATTCTCATAGATCTACAGAATTGCTAGCAAGGGCAAAATTATAAAAGTGACACTCACAAAACTTACCACACAAAACGAAACGTACTATTAAAAGATTAAATTCTGCATGCACAGCAAATTGGCCAGATAGTATTTTAACAAGTATTTTGAAATTTCAGACTTTATGGTTTAAACGAATTTCACGTAGATATGATCTTGATATATAAATTGTACAGCAAAATATAATTATAAGTACTTGTCCTGAGTGTGTCAAAAATTGATGCATTCGATCATTATGTGAAGCATAGTCATATGTTCCTTACATGAATGTCAAAAGGGCCGATTTTTACGTAGGTACGCATGCGTATTATAACTGTCCTGTAGTACCAGTTGGCTTTGAAACTTGACACCTCGTTAAATATATATATTTGTATTGATGTATATTTTCCTTTGATATTGTATATATTGGTTGACTTTATTTTGTGCATGTGCACGTGTATACTGCAAATCACTTTTTTTCGGGAGAACTATTTTCGTGTTAATTCGATTTTGCGAATTCAAATATTTCGTTAATAACATTTCCAGAAAGAATTATTACTCATATTTTTAAAAAGCTTTATCTCAATTGCGGTTCCATCTTCGATAATCCAGGGGTTGCGCTCATTTACGCTCTCTGCACCCCTTTGAAATGTCATAGCAAAATTGAAGGCTCAGTGTGTGCCACCTTGTAGAAGAGACTATAGGACTAGCTCGATCCTTTGATGAACATCAAAAGAATCTAGCGGTCGTGTAACGGTAAAAATTAAATTTGAAGTCGGGTGTCGCCCTTTCTGTAATCTTCAAAGGACAGGTATCAGCCTGTTGATTGGTCAGGATCTTTTTAACTTGAGACCAATCAAACAGCTACCTTTGTGCCTTCAATTTTGCTATGAGGGGTGCAGAAAGCGATAGTGAACGTAACCCCTAGAGTGTCAAGAATGTTGCGGTTCGGGCATGAAATGTGCATGCACAGTTTGCGTGAAAATAAAGTGATTTGAATCAGTAAAACAGTATGTAGGTGGTCAAACCACAAATTAGTTTCTCACACATTTCTGTGTTATGTAAATATTCGATTATTGTAATTTGTACTATTGATCATTTTGTGAATGATGCGTTTTGAAAACGATTCGGCATTACGTTTACATAATTATACAATCAATGTGTTGATTAAAACATTTAGTATGTCGGTGCATCATTTGATAAAAGCACATCGCCAATCAAAAACAGTACCTGCAAAAAAACATGTAAATACAGGCTACATATACAGTGCTACCACTTTAAGTCATTCACTCCTAAAATTTCATTAAGAACTATTCCAACCTTTGAATTTGAAGAGTTCAAATGTGTATTCAGCAGAATGTTTCAGTGAGGTAGCACTATAAAGTCGGCATCAGTTTCGCGCTATCACAAGGAGACAAACACGAACATATCGCAGCCTCCCAAAATACACACACATACACTACACGCATGCATCTTGCACCCAGGGGAGGCCGTCCTTAAATGACCTTAGCTGTTAATAGGACGTTAAACAAAATCAAACAAACAAACAAACAATGTGTATTCAGGGGTGAATGAGTTAACAAGAAAACATCAAAGGCGTTTCCAACCGCGAGTATATCTAAATGGTTCCGCTGACGTTTTGATTAGGATTCCGATAAATAAACATATAATTTGGAGAAATTATTCAAATTTCTGCTTCTACATCTGAAGTGTTATATTCTACAAACGAAGCCGTGCATAGAGGTCCGTTTGTGATCCATCCAGATAAAATGTGAATTATTCAAATTATTTAAGCATTTAAAGAAAGGTTCCCAGCTGATTTTATGTATTTTAAAAAGAATTAAACATCAAAATCCTGCTGTAATAAAATAAAACTGATATATATCACACAGACATAATGATATTTTATCGTTATCAATCTCTACAGATGACAATTCAACTATTTGATAAACGGTTTGAACGTGGTTTCTTAGTGTGGCAGAGAAAGCGGTCATTTTCAAAATCAAGGGTTTGAGGGTGTTACCTTGACGTATGCATTCGATATGTACATGAACAAACATATCTTTCAATTTCCTCTAATTCAAAGAGTTCATGCTATTTGATTTAAGTTCGATTAAATGCAGTTACATGGTATTTAATAACAAGCTAAATATAATAAGTCTAAACTAAGTCTGAAATTATTTTTCATTATTCGATTACTAGTCACTGGTCGTACTTATGGAAGTTTAAAACTATTTTTTAAGCAGGAAGAGAATCAGCGGGAACCTCTCGTAAAGACTTCAAGTCGGTGATGGTTTGGTGCCTTTTTTAGCCTTGTGCTAACCGAAAGACGTTCTATTATCGCAAGGTGCTATGTAGTGAACTATTTTCCCAGTTACATGATACGTAATGCCACCAATGTGATCTTATGTATAGTGTTAAACCTTTACTTTCATATGTTTGTGTAGTAGTTGGTTATCGTGAATTCATGCAGTTTGGTGCGAGTTTTGTTATCCATATGGTTCATATTTTATTCATTGGTTTGATCATTAACCTGTATGTCAACAACGGTTTTGATTTTGTTGTAAATAGTTGTAACTAATTTTATCCTTAATCACACCTAGTGTTATTTGCGTTTTGAGGTCGTATGTTACATGTTATTACTGATACTACAACTCATTCACCCCTGAAATTTGTATTATGAACTTTTCAAACCTTTGAAATGAAAGAGTTTAAAAGTGTCATCAGGGTTGAATGAGTTAATATAAAGCTCTTTTTTTATTTGAAGCAAGCACAGTGATAATAAATCGTAGGAGATGTGCAAAGGGGGACAACTCGGTAAACCTTTATTGATAGAGATGTATATAAAGGGACATTAGTCTGCATACGTTATCCATAGTGATATATGAAAGGGAAAAAAAACCCTAGAAAATGTTGTGTAAAATAAAGCAATCTTGTAAAAGTATCGAGAATAATGGGTAAAGGGAGCAGAACTGTAAAGGAATTATTGGGAGAAATGCAGACAGTATCAGTCTATCATCACGGCATTAAGAAAACATATTCATCGTTAAAACCTGAGTTTTTGTATTCAATGTTCCTCATTGGTGTTGCTTCGTTAAGAAATATCGACGTATTTGGTATAGGTATGTTTGAGATTTTTACTAAATATATTCTTTCATATAAATATGCATTAGTGTTGTTGGTTGCCTTACAGTTATATATACGTGCTTGTGGACAGGTGTGCTATAACATTGAAAAGAATTGTGTTTTTTATTGATGTGTTTACAATCAATGCCAAAAGTCTCATTGTACATGGATTTTTCCGAATAAATGACATTAATGTAAATGTGTACTTGACTAAACAAGACGAAAAGTCTGAGTTAAACAAGTTAAGTTTAGTGATTTTTCATTTATAATATTACGGCGACTGGTTTGATTAAATGACAAGATTAATTTGTTAGAAAGTTATATGAATATAAACTAATCTCACTTTCAAATTGATCCGGTATTAAAATAGAATCAAGGACCTTTTATATAAACTTGCCAGGGTTATTATCCAATTTTTCTTTCAAATCGTTGAATTTGTTCATATAAGAAAAGCTTTCTTGGTATTTTAAAATTTAACCTAAGTGGGCACGCTTCCCCGTTCGATATCATTAGAGGTAGATTGAATATGTGATGTTTGTGTTTGTTTGGGGTTCGACGTCCTATGTCAGGGGTATCTTCAATGTTCCTTAGTAGAAGATGCAGACAAAAAACCAAGATTCTGCAGGGGGCCCACACATTAGTCACCTCTTCCAACATGCATATGATAACAGCAGGTTTATTCTTTCATCGATCCTGCTAGGCCAGAATATGGGCGGAACGTAATGGAATAAGGACACCAAACGTTCCACAAAAGTCCTTCCATGTGTCCATCTAAATTTCATACAATTACATAATATAATATTTATCAATTCATTCATTATATCAATTTTATTAAATAGCAATCTAATGGATTAATCTCATGTTCTCTCTCCCAACAATTATTGACAATAAAAAAACTTGGAAAAATTGATTGGACAAGCGTTCAGTCATGATAAAGTATTGTGATTCATGACTTGAATGATAACGTATCGATTAAATCATTTATATCAAAGCTTCTTACTTTTATGTTATCTTTATGAGTGTTTCCTATGCTTTTATGTGATTTTTCACGTTTTGACAATATAGGAAATTTTATAGAATTTGTTATAATAGCGACCCCAGTTTACTTGAAGTAATAGGTGTTTCTTGGATTATTTAAGTCCAAAATGTTCAATAAAAGTATCCATACCGTACATAAATATTGTCTGGTGGTAAAAACAAACATGGAATAGTGATGTTTTATCAAATAACTTAAAACCACTGATATCAGTGAATATATTAACTGGTCGACAGTGATCGACCCTGACAAGATATAGCAAGAATAAATCAATAAAATCTCTTTTCTATGAAATCAGATATTTTCACGGGGTCTAAATTTCGTGGTTTCCTGACAAACAACCTTTTCTCGGATACATAGTTTCGTAGATTATGAGTGCCCAGTCAAACGGCAAATTATTTTAAATAAAACTTGCAATTACTTAACGGAGCTATGAATTCGTGGACAGAATCAACGAAATTAAAACCCCAAGAATATTAGTGAAATTATAGTATGCTATAAAATCAAAAATTAGAGATAAAAATTAAAAGATGGGTTTGTACAATTAATGTGGATATCAATTATAGGTGAACACTTTATATATGAAAACTTTCTTATGAATCTCTAATACAAACCTTGTCTTGTATCGGCAACCATGACATCTTTATTTATTGGCGACATTGTTCACTGTTAAGGGAGGGATACTGTATGTAGCGTTTTGTATGTTCTCTTCAATGTACAAACAGATTAGGGCTAGTTACATGTAATTTATAGTACCGCGATATCGTCAATGACAATACAGTTGCAGTCGTTCTACATTTAAAAAATCTAAAAAAATCGTCTACTGTTAAAAACAGCAGGTGTTCCTTTCCCAATCGTCTGTGACGTGAGTGCAGGCGATTGGTGGTTGACTTGCCAGTAAGAATTAGAGGTGGAGTTTGTCACCAGGAAGTAGTTAATTGTCACATGATAGAAGAAACCGTATATTAACGATGTTTTAAATGGCGGATGTTA